AAGAGGCAGAGACGTGTCCTTTCGGGGAAGACTCGTCAGTGTCGAAAGAGACCACGCGTAGTTTCCCTAATTCCGAATTATATTCGGCGAATTCACGGGGGCTGCGTGCGCGCACGGCGAGTGATGGGAACGGGGGCCGGGAATATAGGGACTTTTCGGAGTAATTTGTATTCCACATTTCACGTTGAACTGCACGAGGGGTGACGAGTGCTCCTTCTCCGTGTCCTCCGGGTCCTTCGTCTCTCTTACTTTCCTCCTCTCGGTGGTCTCGCTCGGTGCTCTCTTCGGTGTGTGTTCACACGCGGCCTGTTCTCGCCCGGCGCGCGGTGAGAGAGACTTACAGCCTGCGCCGGTATATAAACGGCGGCCAGGGAGTAACGTCTGATTATGCGAACGCATGGCTGGTCGTAACGCGATTTAATATTAAAATATTATGACAAACGTCAACAGGAGGCGGGTGTAAAGAGACGCGTCTCTGATTGGCCGTCGACGTGAATACGAAACGAGAGACGGGGACACCTTCCGCCAGCCCTTGTTTTGTACCCCGATGTCGCTGTTCCATTTTCACCAGCGGCATTTGCCAGTAGTTCACCACTCGCAGAGACCACTCTCCGCGTTTCGATAAATCCTCTCGGGTTTCGGTCGTTGTTAGACCAAAGGGGGGACGAGTATGTAAATCCATTCTTTTCTTCGCTTCTCTCAAATATTTTTCTCCGTAACGACGGTGAGAATCGGCTATAGAAATTGAAAATTGTTCGGCGCTATCGTGGATGAAACGAGTGAAATTCTTCGGCCTTTTTAGATCAAATTTCATTCAGATAGAAATTTTCTTTCGTCGTTTCCATCTTTCGCCAGTAGGAGTTAAGTAACACTGGGAATGTTTTACTTGAAGAAATTGAACTTACGAGCGTTTTGATTACAGAAAATTTTCTTTCTCGTTCCTTTTCATTCTCTTCGTTCTCTGATAATTGATCTAAGATACCGTTCTAACGAAACGTCGAACAACTTTCGTTCCGACGAATGCAAAGAGGGGGAAAAGAGAAATCAGGCAGAGAGCAGACAAATTTTTCGCTTTTTTTTTTTCTTTTTCTCATCGGTCGTGATTCACGTGATCGATTAAAACGTTGCGTTACGAAGAAGGAATTCCGGGAGTGCGTTCGGTGCATAGGTATTACAATGTTAAAAATCAATCAAACAACGGGCTCTCGCTCGTTCCAGTGCACAGAGATCCGAGCGGGAATTTTAATCAATACATACATAATAGAATATTCCCGCTATGGCGTATCGCGGCTATGAAAATATCACGGTTAACAGATCCAAAAGGGATGTTCAATATGGAATGCGAGGAAAAGCTAGAAGGTAAATCCGATTCGGATTTGTGGAATAAACGGATCGACAGTGCAAATCGCCGAATTTTTTCCCCTGGACAATTCTGTCTCTCTCTCTCTCTCTCTCTCTCTCTCTCTCTCTCTCTCTCTCTTGCTTCTCTCTCGCTCTGTTTCCTCTCTTTTTTCCCTTTTTTTTTGTATTTTTTTCCTGTAGCAAGTGTCCCGATGACGTTCGTGGCAACTCTCTGTGCGTGCAGTTTAATTGGCGCGTATAAAACGACGCTAAATAAACATTCAGAGACACCGTGGCAACGTAACGAGTCGAACATTCACGATATCCTATCGATTTCAATCGGAACTGACTTCAAATTGATCGAATTCTATTGTCCCAAATTTCCGATTTTTTTTTCTTTCTGTCTTTTTTCCTTCTCCGATTATCTTCACCCCGAAGACACAGTGGACGTAACTGAGACAATTACACGCGAACCATTCGCGAAGACCACGCATTAATCAGCTCCGTAAATTGAACGGTTGAAGTAGGTCAAAAATTACCTTTTGAATTTTTCCTCGTGGGATTATTTAAACATCATTTCTCAGAATATTGTTTATTTCTCTAAAGTAAACAATCTCTGCATCACGTCATCTCGCAGGCTGTCGCGAATTTTACAAAACGTTGGATGACTCACGACGAGTGGGCCATGAAAGCGCCTCGGTGCACAGACGCGGAGGATAGTTTCGTCGCTTTTCAAAGACAGATGAAGCGGAAGACGAAAGCGGGGGTGGATCGAAGGGGGTTTGAACCAAGTGAGGGGAGGGAATCGAAAGTATAAAGACGGATACCGAGGACTCGGGAGAACTCATATATACAGGCAGGCGGGGGCGCACAGTAGTTCGGTGTGGTTCTCTCGGGGCTGGGATAAATCCAAACAGTAAACAGAGAGAAAAAGAGTAAGAAATATATAATACATGGAAAGAGAAAGAGAAAGACGGCGAGGGCCGGGAGGTGGTGGGCATGGTTGGTGAAAATTCTAATATATAAAAGATATGAAGGTCTGGCACGAGGTGGAGAAGGACGAGAGACGAGACCGCGTAGTAGCAGAGGAGCAAGGCAGCGGCCGAAGGAGCCTTCGGGATTCAAATAAGTGGCGTTACCGGGGCCACCGGGAGGGGAGGAAAGGGGTCGAAGGAATCTGAACAGCCAACAACAAGCGCGGCTCCCCGACCTTTATTTAACCTTTTCTTAAAAGAGTCTTAGGAGTCCCTCTTATCTGTAGTCGATGGCCCTTCAACGTCGGCTCTTATACTTTCATTCTTTCCGTACCCTTATATTTTTTTCCTTTGGCCCGGTTCCGTGTACACACGTCGAGCTTCATCGTCGTTACCCTTCGTACCTCCACCTCCGTTGGCCCCCATTTTTTTTCTTTTTCCTTTTTTTTTTTTTTTTTTTTTTTTTTTACTTCCGTTTTTTTCTCTCGTGGACTGAACCCGCCCTCGACTTGGTTTCGCTCGCGATTTTTTTTCCACCCCTTTCTGCCGCACCCGGGTGACACGACGGCGCGTTGAACGTTCAAGATTCTTCGTTTCTTCGTTTCCTCGTTAGAACAGAAGCAATCTAAGTGAGACAGAATAAACAGAGAGATGGGCGGAAGGAGAGAGTGAGCGAGAGAGAGAAACGAGCTCGGTATTAATTAGCGAATTAAAGGATCACGATCTAGTCGGGGCTGTGCGTCTCTGGCTAAAGTGGATTAAAACCTCCTGCCGATCGTTGCTTTTCATTAATTTCGTTGAGTAAACGGCACTGTCGCTCGTGTGCTCGCTCCTTGCCGCTCGAAGCTCTTTCTTATTGTTTTTTTCCAAGGCGACCGGCCCGGCGACTCCTCGGAGAGACGTTTCGTTTCGAAAAAATTCCTCTCCTCTATTCGTGGAAATTTCGTTGGCTCCGCGCGAGGAAACGAAAGGAAACTCTCCGGGCCCGTGAAACAAGCGAGAGAGCCGAGATGATTTTTCCTCGAGGAGAATCGTTTTGATTTTCAAATGGCGTATTCCTCCACTGTTTTTCCACGACGCGTTTTTTCCTTTCGCCTCGGTTCGCTTCGAACTTCCGAGACGGAACGCTGCCACTCCTGACTAAACACTGATAACGCCCTGCGCTTCCCCCCTCTTGCGGACTTTCTTTGCATGTTATAAACATACGTAATCGTACACAAATAAGATTAGCATAGGACTCGCGGCTCGACCGAGAGACACGCACACACGCTCGCTTTTCAGGCTCGCGGAGAAACAATCGCCGGGCTCTCTCTCTCTCTCTCTTTCTCTGTGTTGAAAACCAGAGAGACAGAACGACAGAGAGAGAAATCTGTTTTAAATTTATCTCTGACGAGACTCGACCTCTCCGTTTGTCTCGAACTTTCTCGCTCGCGTTCGCGATTCGACGAGCTCGCCTGTGGCCCGCCGAAGAACGACCTTCGAGTCGAGCAGCGTGAGTTTTCGGGATTCGTCGTGCGTTCTTCGTTGTTGCTCCACGCGCGAGGACTCGCTTTTACGCGACACGGAAACGCGGATTTCGAAACAGGCATTCTAAACAGCCTTTGGACAGGCAGAAGCGCGTTTTTTCGAAGAATCGGAGACAGGTCTCGGAACAATTGATAAACAAGTCGAAGTCCTGCGAAACGTTTCTACAAACATGAAAGAGAAGAAGAAAAAGAAGAAGAAGTTGAATCATCATTGGCTTGGACGAGACCAATATATTTTTTCAAATACCGATCAGCGAATGATTAATCCTGAGGGGAACGTACATTCCTTATCGTTTTTTACTAAATATACACTTCTGCAAATGTGATAAATTTCTACGTCTCGGGAGAGGGAAGGAAGAAAGAAAATAGAGCGATCTATATGAAGAATTTCAAACGAAACTGAAACGTTATAAAGTATCAAACATTTTCTGTAATTCCGTCCTATGGCAGAATTAACTATGGTCCCCTCTGCGAGATTTCCAAGAGAAACTTGGAAGCGAACGGAAGAGGGAACCGATAGCACAATGTTCTGCTTTTACACTCCGCAATCTACTTGATGATAGAACTTAATAAAACAAATCCGGCTGCGTAAACAACGAAGTAAAGAGACCGGAGTCGACGCCGAGATTCAGACAACAGCGAGAGTTTTCATCCCGATGTTCCCGAAGCCAGCCAATGATGGCGTAGGATACCAAGACGTCTCGGGCGCTCGAACACCATTAGATAAGATCAATATTGCTCAAAACACGGTGGAAGTTTAACGCGCGCACATTACACGGCATTTATATCATGAATATTCCGCCCCGAGGCTTCTTCTTCCCTCTTTTCGTTCTCGCCCGGCTTCTTCGGTCCCTTGCAACAACCATCTCTAGCCAACCCTTTCTTCGTTATCTCGCGTTTGACTTTGTACAAGTACCGGTGTCGCCAAAACGAAAACTCCTTTATCTCTTATTAAACGAACGTCGAATTTAAATTAATCCGAATTTTACCATTTATTTTATCTCGTATCGTCCTTTCGTCGCAGATGTAGAAATAATCAATATTCTTACTCTTCTAAAAAAAAAAAAAAAAAGAGAGAAAAGAAAAGCAAAAAAAAATATCAGAGACAGCTCGCAACCGATCTTTGATCGAGCTCTCGATCTCCATTTTCGTATTGCAGGCTACTTCGCTGTTTGCAGCCCTGAAGCAGCAGCAACAGCAACAGCAACCGCGCGACAGTGTTCCCTCGTCGAGGGAACGCGAAAACCGAGAACGAGATCGGCTGTCGGTCCGTGGCCGTGAGAACAACCGGAACGAGATAGGTAGCGGCGTGGCAGAGCAATCGCAGCAACAGCAGCAATCACAGCAACAGCAGCAACAGCAACACCAGCAGCATCAGCAACAACAACAACAACAACAACAACAACAACAACAACAGCAACAGGAGCTCACGATCGAGTATCAGAGCAATGGAAAGCTCAGTCCCGCTGGGCACGCAGTGACAGCAGCACCCATGACCCAGCAAAAGCAGCCAATTATCACGCAGCAGTCGCAACAGCCGAGCTCGGGGGCGCCTGGTCCCCAACCGAGTCCTCATCAGAGTCCGCAGGCCCCTCAGAGGGGTTCGCCGCCGAATCCTTCGCAAGGTCCTCCACCAGGGGGACCGCCAGGGGCACCACCCTCGCAAAATCCCTCGCAGATGATGCTCAACCCGGCTAGCGGTATCCATCAGATGCAACAGCTACTCCAACAGCACATACTCAGTCCTACTCAGCTGCAGTCATTCATGCAGCAACACTCGCTCTATCTGCAGCAACAGCAACAGCAACACCATCAGGTATTTGTCCGCGATGATGGCATTTTTTGATATTAGCGGGAAATATTCAGTGAAGGATGCGGAAGATGTTTTGGGAAGTTTTCAAGCAAAACTGTGCAGCTCAAGGAGAATGTTTAATAATACTTGCAGTTACGTTTTTGATTCGTTGACGATGCAACTACGACCGGTTACATCGTGAAGATGAGTTATAATATATAACTTCCGTTGTTTCAATTGGTTCGATTTCGTACTTTTTACACATTCATAATTATCTGTCATTCCTTTGTACCTAGTGATGATTAAATTTTTCAAATCTTCTCCGCAATGTTGCCGGTCGTTGTAACGTTAAGGATTATTTGCAATTCGCTGGAACTGAGGTATTTCTTTCGTCTGGTATCAAACGAACTCTGTCGACTGACGTCGGATTGATTCTATTCTTCTAGGACTCAACGTCGGAGCATGCGTCCAATCAGGAACGATTCGGCTACTTTTCGTCTCTAAAGGACGTAAGTATTCTTCCATTCTTCGAACCTTCATTGTTACAGGCGGCGGTATCTCAAGTTTCGTAGCTCGATTCTTCCAAGTTTATTGTGTCGCTTCTTCAAAGTACATTAGCGACGTTTGTCCTTTTTATCGAGCAAGCACTGCATCTTGGCATGGTTAAACATCCTCTGGATACTCTGTCGGGTAAACAGACCGCTTTTTTATCACCCACGGTCTGCCGTAAATTTTAATTATAAAGGCGTGGTTCGATGGACCGCGGTACTTCTTTCACCGTTCCTTTGGCGCACTTTTGCAAACATTCGAACAACCTTTCCAGGATAACAGCCATGGAAAGTATGTCTCGAGCTATTCGACGCCGACATTCTCGAACGAAACGTGTCTCTTGAAACTATCCGAAACCTCCGAACGTTTAATAATTTCCATCGCATTCCCGCCATGTCGAATTATCAACATTTTTTTTCTTTTTTCTTTTTCCTTTTTTTTTTTTTTTTTTTTTTTTCTTTTTGTCGCATTCGGGATTATTTCCTCCCGACGGTTTGGATTTCAAGCTCGCAGCTAACGGGAATATACGAGACGAAAAATTGATCAATGACGCTGAAAGAAATACGAGAAAAATAAAGGGAGGAAAAGAGCCGGCAGTGGGGAATGGGTTAACGCAGTATCAATGTTTCATTTGCTCGCATAACTTCTGTTCAACGAGCGGCCGGCCAAACGCAGAGAGAATAATTCTATACGTATATATCGAAGCTATCGATCCAAATAGAGTTACTGGTGTTGGAAATCCAATCATATCGCTGGTCACGTACAATCGTCTCGAATCGATACTCAACATCTGAACAATCAAACACGCTCTGCCATTCCCTCTCATCCTCCTCTTCTCAAGTCTGCAAACTAGTCCCTTACGGTATAATGCTTGTCGTCTACATTCTCTAATCCTGCTTCTGCTTCCATCCTCAAAGATTTTCAAATTTAATGGATACACACAGTTGCACGAGCGTACGGTTTCTGTCCACGTACTGTCTTCAATCGATGCTTTGACCGGTCTCCGTCCACTTTGCTCTCTGCTCGTTGTGCTCGTGTCTCTATCGTGCGTTCCCCAATTCTACACACAGGACGTCCCGAATTAAAATTTCGATCCCGAAATTAAACAATAATTCAGATAGACAAAGAAGCTAATACTCTTGAAACTCTTGAATATTGAAAAATTTGAAGCAGAGTCAATTTGCTTTCACACGTTTAGGTTGATCACTGAAGAGTCGTTTGTCTAAATTTACAAAATTGAGAAACATTTGACTTTTGAAGCGACTATCTGCTCCGCTTCGTAATTCTTCGATTCTTCGATTCTTCAGGAATAAAATACATCGCTCCAGATAAAAAGTTGAGCACTTTAAGAACAGAGCAGCGAGTCGAAAATTCTTCGATGACTGAACAGTAACGTAATGTTACGGCTTCGCAACATTTAACCGATTGTGTGCTTCATTTCACGGTATTATTATATTCCTCTCGTCGATCGCAAGCCCTAATATCTAAGTTTCGCATCGATACCCACAGAGAACCCTCTGGTCTGCGGCTGCGAGTCTCAAGAGCTTTGGGAATGGTTAAGGGACCACCAGAAGCTGGTCAGCGGGGTGGGAGGCGGCCGTGGTCGCGGAAGAAACGGTGTCGGGGTCGGCGATGTGGAGGACGGTCTGCTCAAGTGCCAACAGCCGCCGGAATTGCAAGGTCTGGTTTTCCTGGATCTCGATCCCCACGAGTTCTGTTCCGCACCGTTGATCCTCAAGCTCGCGATTCAGGACATCCAACCGTTCTCCGTTCTCGTGTCCTGGCAGAGCAGAAACCATTCTGGCCTTCACGGCTACCAAGTGGCCTACCACGCGCTGGACAACGTCGATGAGGTACGTTTCTCTCTCTTTCTCTATTTCTCTCTTTCTCTCTCTCTCTCTCTCTTTCACCATGTGGATTGTTCTATCGTGAACGTCCCATAAATTACCAGGTAACCGCGCGTCTTCATTCCGTGCTTACATAAAAGTCTCGATAAATCACGGCGGGATATTTGAATCTCTGACTACATAAATTTCGAGACCACATAATTTCACCGCGGTCTGTATGTTACGCTTTTCCTTTATGTATTCGCCGTACGTGCTACATCTGAATTCTATTTATGAGACGAATATGAGATCTTCTACCGAGAAGGCAGCCACATCGACCATCATAGAACGATTGTTTTCTTCCAGTAGTATATATATTCTTTATTATAAAAAACATCTGATGTTTCAAATTTTTCCGTTCCAAGTGGAGTTGAAATTTCTTTGAAAGGTTACATAAATATTCAAAACTATACGCTTCTCGAGTAACTGCGGCATTTTGGTCGATGAGAAATAATCAGAACTATCCCTCTGTGAAAGCTGCCGGTGTTCATTTGCAAGCCGCGTGACACTCTTTGTTCCAAGAGAAAAGAGATCTTAAGTTTCCTGTCGCGCGTGACTTGCAGGTGCGAGGCAAGCTGCTGGATCCTAAAGCACGTTCGGTCAGGCTGACGAAGTTAGCCTCGGACACCCGGTACCTGATCTGCGTGCTCGGGCTAGGCAGCTGGGGCACGTCAATCCCGGAGGACATTGGCTCTTGGCAATGGAACGCTTCTCACGACGACGTGATCGAGGGCTCGGCCCGTCCGGCGATGGTGAACTCGCTTACCAGTCAGTGCACGGAGGTTAGAACCCTAGACGCGCCTGATTCGATCGTCGGCGACGGAACAATGAGCGACAGAGGAGGTCTGGCCAACATATTGACCAGAAGATTAGGCCTGATAGTCGGCAGTTGTATGGGATTTGTGGTGTTCGTCGTGCTGATCTCTGTGCTTGGTTACATGAAGATGAAGAAGCAGAGGTCCACCGAGAAGAGAGACCAACCACTTTCGTCCAATCCACAGGCGTACATGTCGTACAGGCATTTCTCGTTGCAAAGCGGCGACAGAGCGGACAACGCGTGTCCCAGTTTCATCAGCAATATCGGCACCACGCCATTGAATTCGTAGCACAAGCCAAAGGAGTCTCGAAAAGAGACTGACCACCGTGCGATCGAGATGAAGAACTCGCCCACTTGTGCAGGTATCTTTGGCTAGCCGGTGCCAAATCGCCGAAACCAGAGGACCAGAGGTCCTGCGGAAGATGCAACGTTCAAGGATACGGCAAATTTTTTCATCCCACTCGCGGGCACCATTCGGAAAAATAGAACTGCTCAGTTTTCGCAGGAATCTCCTCCGTTCACTACCGGATCCAGTCCGGTCAATTCAGACTTGAGAAAAAAGTGCCAAAATTGACGCGCGTATGTCTCGAAGCGGGAGACACGGTTGTTGGCCATCTGGCTTCCACCGGCCGTCGTGACGTGTCCGTTAATCCGCGGGAACGAACGTGACAACGAGAAACGAGACCGTGAACAGGTGCCAAAAAAATATTTCGCGAGCGGATCGAAGGGAAGCGCGATTCTTTCCAAGAGACAAAACGTATTGCTCAGTAGCAGAGAAACCAAAAGGGAAAAAGCAAGCGACTCTCGTCGTGTTTTCTAAAAGGAGACGGAACAAAGGAGACAAATTACCGATCGATCTTTCTCGACCATTCGTACGAACCGAACAACGATATAAACGACCCCTTTTTGAAACATTCGAATCTCTCCTAGCAAGACTGATTTTTTAAACCGCCGTTCCTTCAAACATCCCGCCCTCCCATCAACCACACACACACGCGCACACACACACACACACGTACACCATCTTTTAAAAAAATAATCCCATGCCATTTCGATGCTCGTATTATATACTGTATGTATGATACGTGAGAATTTTTTTGTAAATAATAGAGTATAAAGTATCGTGACTTAAAACGAAGAAAAAGAAAGAAAGAAAGAAAAAAAAAAAAAGAATGACGTTCGCACAGACGATACCTATCGTAATATTACCACGGGGATACTCGTCCTTCTAGTGCTGCGCAAGCAATATTACACTTACTCTAATCGATAGTCCCGACGATCAGCACTGAAGTTAATTAAGAGGGCAGTCTCCTACAAGTCGCGAGTTCGTTCAACGTTTCTTTTCTCTAAAAGCGTCCACCACCGTACACCATCGTCGCTGCCAGAAAAAAAAAAAAGAAAAAACAGAAATTCCAATCCGTCGCGGTTCTGTCTCTCTTTCCTCTCTCTTTCTATTCCTCTCCCTTCCATTCTCTTTCTTTCTCCCTCTCTCTCTCTCTCTTTCTCTCTCTCTCTCTCTCTCTCTCTCTTTCTCTCTGTATATTCACCGCGTGTCGTTGATCGTCCGGCATACGAAATTTTCTCGCGAATCAAACGCGACCGAAAGTGGGCGCGTCACTCCTGCCAAGAAACGAGAGAACGGAGAATTCGGTTTCGAGTTGCCAAAATGTGTTAATACGGGATGAGACGTTGCGGAAGATGGATTTATTGTATATAGATAGAGGATATGTATACACATAGCATTCTTTATTATAGCATAGGCTTTCGGTTAATAAAAATACACCAAAGCTAATCGATCGTTCTCCCTTTTACCCCTTTCCCCTACACAACCCTGGCCGACGTCAAACGCTGTGCATCCGGTGTTTCAACTATTGAACCCTGCCCGGACAGGCACGAAGAGATATACGCTACACACCGGGGACAGCTAAATTTACACTGGCTGGTTCAATCGTCTTGCAGACATGGCCCAATCAAGATTCAATCGGACGATAATCTAGCCGACGTTTGTGGAATAAATTCCATTACAATGGTAATGGCATTATCCAGCTCTCCGTTTTCATGCTGTTTGATCGATCGATCAACGACTGCAAACATAAAAATATAAATTGCCATTCCGGTGAGTATGAATCGTAGAGGCATTAATTGCAGGCAATTCCATTTCTGCCGGGAAATTTCTACCGATGAGTCCTGCGAGCTTCTATATCCAAGACCTCAGCTTCGCTGGCGAGGCGCCACGTGATCATGCAAGTAAATACCGATTCAACCGACAATCAAACCGAATGGTATTTCCGGGATGTATGGTCGACGATCTATTAAGTCACATCTCATACGGCTAATTAATTAATTATAATGGGGGGGTTCGGCTCGTAGCAGCTTAGAGCGAGCTTGCGGCTCGCTTAGGTTCCGTAATTAACTCCGGGTCAGGCCGGGTATATCCCCAGAGCGTCAATCAGTTCCGACCTGGCACGTCGAACCAAAACAATCCGCTTCGGGGATATATCGAATTGCTCGCTTCGATAATGACCACCTCCGCTTCGATACGAGTACCTCGTTAAAACATTCAATCCGCGAGCGATTGATAGGAAGGAACGAGAAATGTCTCGTAAAAAAATTATTATTTTTATCATCGCGCGCCGACGAGAGTGAATGAAACGGCTGGTGCAAACAGAGTCGAGCCTTTTATTAGACAATTCCTCCGAGTTGGTTAGAAAACTAGATTATTCTTTATATTTTTATGCTTTTCACGGGGCTACGAAACATAACGGTATCTTGTTAAATAGTGCCGCGATATTTCGTCGTGACTAAATCGCGCGGCTTGAATTCCCTTTTTTGATGAACAAAATTTCGGCCGATGGCGACAATGGCCTGAGTACAGAGGTTCGACAACAAATCCTAACTTTCTGATTGAATTTTTCGAACCGGCCGGAGTCTCAAACACCGTCGAATGAAATTACCACCGAGCCAGTCGACGAAGAACGAACGCGCGCCGCGATGAGCGTATCCGACGGTCCTCCCCGATGTATGGGATTAGCATGAAAGCAGCGGTGATTCGAAGCTCGTGAAAGAAGATCCCCGGCAAAACCTGTACATTAACAGTGCCCTGGGTCCGGGGAGTTGCAATTACCAAGCGTAATTAACTCCGAGAGTTCATTCAACTGACGCGTGTCAGCTACCAATACTCCTGGCGAACTATGTACATCTCCATTATTATTTTTCATCAACAGATAAAACGAGACTCCGTCCAAAATAAAGCATGGAAAGTTATTGTTTCAAAACAAGAAGATTCTTTTTCTTTTTTTTTTTTAATTCGTACTACCGTGTGCGAAATACGAGATCTCACTGTGAATGACTGACCAACTTCGTTTGTTGAGTTATGTTATAGCGAGGAGTGCGAAGTGCGAGTGAGATTGGGAGAAAGATTCATCGATACCAGAACAAATTAACAAATTGACAAGTCACAAGGTGCAGATCCTTCTTTTATAATTTCATACCAAACAGCCAAGTTTGATTGTTGACAATTTCATTTCTCATTAGATAAAAGGATTTATTAGCAGCGGTATTTTTTACTGGCACTTAATACTGGTATTTTACGTGCAATTTGTAAAACTCGAGCGACAGTGTCATACGTAAATCTTTTTTATCGTTGAATCAACACCTGCATATTTTGTGACGCTTGTATATCTGCGTAAAAGAGCACGCGATTAACCAAAATTCATGTACAACAGAAAAAGCCAAACGAAAAGCATATCCAGAATGAAATGACATTTTTAGCACAAATACGGTCGGAGCATAATTCACGCTCGTTCGTGACGTTTGTTTCACGACGATATCTTAAGCGATTTCGGAGTTATGCAATTTCGAAATGGAACATTCAAAGCGCAAAAGATTGAACATCAATTCGAGCTACGCTGACCTATATTTTTTTTCTAAAAACGCGTTCGTCACGTGCGATAGTGACAAAAAAGGAAAAAAAGAAAATTGTTGACTCAGCGTTTGTCAGTGACCAGCCCACAGGTGCTTGAGATAGGTCAGTGGTATAAGAGGGTTGAATAAACCTTCGAAAATTGTAATTCACTTTAAACAGCTGTATATCGTAACGATATAAATTTTTTTTGTATGTATAGAATATAGTTTATTTAACCTTTTCATATTTCATCTTGTGTGTACGTAATTTTATGAAACTGAATTGATCTCGAATTTTTAATAGAATATGCTTTTTTTCTATTTAGAAAATCGCGCAAAAGGTGTACTTCCATGATTTATAGTTGATGAAAGCACAATTTAGTTTTTAGAAAAAAATTCGGTCTTGAAAGAAATATAATTAAAACTCGTGTAATAGATGCTTACCAATTTTCCTCATTGATTCTTCATTAATAGTATAATAAGAATTTACGTCTAGATGAGTCGATTCAATCGGTGAGAGATTATTCTAACAACAAGCAAAATCACGTTCGAATAAATGAAATTCATGTAAACGAGAACCTACTACAATAGAATATACATAGAAGGTATTGTATGGATCAATTGTTAAAACTGAATGCACAAAGGGTATTATATTGTATTATACTGAATTAGAGTCGAAACAAGTGTCAGATTAATCGGATAAATGTTGGAATAATAAGGACGATGCAGCAGCCTGTTTCTGACACATCCCCCCGTCGATTATAGACTTTCCAGTGAAATTCTGTTGGAACACTGACCCGTAAAACGCTCTCTCTCTCCCCTCTCTCTCTCTCTCTCTCTCTCTCTGTCCTCGGTAACACTGCCATTGGCCTCGGTGGCCTCTCATTATACCATTTCATCCGGTAGCTATTGTTAACCCCCAGCAAAGTACAAGGTGCTACAAGGGACCTTCGGATTCTAAGCACGGCTATTAATAAGAAGCCACCCCGCTGCGAGAGACCCAGCTGGACAGTAAGTACGGCTACGGGCGGTTTGTACGTCTGTTAAAATAAATTGGACCACTGCCGGGGTAAACCGTGTTACGGCACCCCAGCGAAAGAGATTGCTCGACGAAAAGGATTAATGAATATCTGAAGGCAATATCCCTTCGAGCTCGGTTCGCTCTGATCCTATCTTCTCTCTTTCTCTCTCTCTTTCTTTCTGAGTGCATACCTTGGAGATCAAGTGACGTAAATTTCATTAATGTGCTGTCTAATCACAAGAAATCTGAATAAAAAACAAAGGTCAGGATAAATTACAACTATTTTTCTCTTAACTCTTCGACAATGTGGAGTAAGTGTTTTTTTTAACAATGTATAACATTATGAACGTACGTAATATGGTTCTAATTTACGAAAGAAATCTTTTTTTTTTTTTTGAAACTCAATCGGAAAACTACTGTATTCAAGTACGTATGCTTTTGGTGATCTAAATCAAAGAGATCAACTCTCAGTATGTACGAAGATTTTTAGCAGTATCACTGTATGAAAAAGGAATCCTCGAGTGATCCCTATCACAACACTCAGTTTCACTCTGAACGATTCCATAAATACTGCACGACCAACCGTTCGCGAACGGGAATTCCGTAACGGTCTGAACACCCATAATTTCACGGGAAGGGAAATAATAGTGACACGCTGGCGGCGCGCAAATTCATCAAACACCAGGACGCCATGAATTCGTGGATAACGTTAATAAACGACAGGACGATTTACTTGCGAGCTCCGGGGCCATTTCTCCGCACAAACGACGTGTTATAAATAATAACCAGAACCATTGAGCCTCTCCTCTCCACTCTGGCCCAGTGCAGGGCCCATTGTTAACCTTTCGGTTGGACAGACTAGGCTAACGTGCGGCAGAGAGTCCGGCGGTGGCGTGCACAGTCCTCCAAGTGCACCTATTAATAAGGAGTGCAGCACGCCGTTAGAGCGTGCAGTGTAACTGCACTCCTGGCAAGATACCTCGAGTCACGATGCAACGAGCATCGCCTCGTGGAGAAAAGGCCAGCTCTGTAGCCCCAACCCAACCCGTCGGTTCCATACCCGAGCAACTTGCTGCAGAAGCAATTGTATTAGAGAGAGAGAGAGAGAGAGAGAGAAAGAGAGAGAGCCAGGTATTTGAGTCTCTCCTACCGACGATATCATTTCTGCTCTTTTTTTCCTTCTATCCGCCACCGTTTCCACTGTTCCGCGTTTTTGCCCTCGACTTTTCGTTCCTCCCATTGTTTCCACCATTTCTCCTTCTTTCCCTCTTTCCTCTTCTTTCTTTCTTTTTTTCCTGCCTTTTTCTTTTGCTTGTTAAGAAACAGCAAACTCGAGATGCGCATCGAGACTGAAATTTTTCCTCTCTCTCGAACACCCGATGGAATTATTTCGCTGACGATCGCGTAAACGACATTTTCACAGTTTCTTTCTCGCGTCAGTTGTTTTAGTTTCACGTCATTTGTTCAGTTGTCTGCGTTATTTACTCCGAATTACGATAAACAATTGCTCGGTTAACACACTGTTGACAAGCGGTGAAATGTGATTTTCAACGCTGACGTTTTTGCGGTGTCGTACGATTCGCGGTGGTCGTGGTTTCCGATCGTCGAAAAATGAATGTACGCATTCCTTTGCGTTCGGTTAATTAACGCAGTCACCGATCGTTCCTTCAACGAAAATCACATTTAATGTTAACTCTCGTTCCAGGATCGGGAAAATTGTTACAATATACGAGAAACACGAATCCTTCGCAGAGAGAAATCGCAGAATGACATTTCAATATTGAATCGTCGACTAGTTTCCCCAACACGGCCGTTGCTTAACTACTTCATCGATTCGGAGGGGGCTGCAAATATGCCAAGAATCGGAA